GGATGCCTTGAAGGCTTCCAGGGGCTTAAACTGGCTCCTCGAGGGTCACGGGGGGCTCAAAATGGCTCCTTGAGGGGCTCCTCGAGGGCTTCAAGGAGCTTAAACTGGCTCCTTGAGGGGCTCAGGCACAGAAACCCACCCCAAAACCACATTGGGGGGCATCTGATGACAGCACAGAGCCCCCCCCAAAGGTGGGACAGGCTCATCCCGGAGCGAGGGGGCCTTACCCCGGAGGCAGGAGGTCCGTTTTCACTCTGTTTTGGTTTCTGGAGGCCGCTGATGACAGATCCCAAAATGGAGGTGGTGAGACCCTGCAGAGCCGGGGGGGTGACGGTGGGAGGGGTGAGCTGAGGCACTTGTGTCCCCAACACAGAATTTTCCCGATCTACTCCCACCGGTCCCAGGAAAGAAGCCAGGGGTACGTTTCCAGAAGGCAAAATCGGTGATTTGACGTGTCCCTGTGCCATGTCACCGGGCAAGGGGCCACCTGGGGAGACAGAAGGAGAAGGATGGCACCAGCCCCTGGCCCCCATCTTGATTTCAGCCCTTTTTCCCCCCCCGAGGAAAACGCAACCCCAGCTCCCTCCACTCCCCAACTTCCCTTGGAGGAAGGGGGTCTCCTGTGTGGTTTTTCCTCCTCCCAAAACCAGAGGGCTGAGCTCCGCAGGGCTCCCTTTCTCCCCCAAAGCCATGCCTGGCTTGGTGTGCCACAAGGCCGGCTCTTACCGGAGGAGAGCTCTCCCAGGAGCTGGCCGGGGGGCTGCGCCGGCGCCGTGGCCAGGCCCAGGGCGCCGTGGGGCAGGGAGCTCAGCGGTGAGTCGCCTAGGAGCCCCGGCTTCTGCAAGAGACAGCGGGAGGTTAATATTAAGCAAAATCAGATCTGTGGCTCTGGAGGGGAGCGGATGGCGCCGGTCGGCTAAAAACTTAGTGCAGGCCTGGGGAGATCCCCGGCTGTGATTTCATGGCTCCTTAAGCACCGAATACCAGAAATAACATCGGGGAGACACTCCCTGCCATGGTTCAGCACCCATTTTTGGTCAAAACCGGTCGGTTTGCACTGGAAGGAAGGAGCCAGCCAAGCCAGCTCATGTTTGCCAAACCAGGAAATTGAAGGGGAGCCCAGGAGGGAGGGGGGGCTCCCCCTTTTCCACCCCACCCCACAGCGAGCCCGGCGCAGGGACTGGCTCAACTGCAGGACAGAGGCAGAGCCGCCGAGCCGGAGCCCTCCAAGCTCCAAATCCGGGCAAAGACTCACTTCTCCCAGCAAAGCAGTGTTACTGGGGTCACTGGTGTCGTCAGCGTGTCTGGTTTGGGTCAACTTGTTTTGCCACAGTTGGGTCCGGACCCAGTTCTGCAGCAGAGAATTGCCCAGTAATGCTTCCTGGGGCAGAACACGCAGTGGAAAACACCAGAAATACAGAAAATCTTGCAAAAGGAGAGAAAAAATGAAGGGCTGGGCAGTTCAGAAGGCATGGGGGAGCTTTAATCCTCTCGTTGCCACTTGAGGAGTGAAGAACGAGGAGGAAAAAGAGCTTTGGGAGCCAGGGAGTGCGTGAGGCGAAGCAAAGATATGAGGCAAAGCGGCTGAGCAAAGCGGGAGCGGCACAGGCCCGCCGTCAGGTTTGGAAGACCCCCGCGGGCTCCGGCACACCGGCAGCACCGGCACCTGCAGCACAGAGAGGAGCCGGGATCGATGTACCTGCTGTGCCTGGGTTTGGTTCTGCAGGGCGAGTTGGAGGAGGGCGGTGGAGAGGGCTGGGTTGGTCACCAGTGGCACAGAGGGAGCGGCGCCGAGGATCCCTGGAGGGGAAAAAAAAAAAAAAAAAGGAGGAATGGCCTGCGTGGTGAGGCCAAAACCCCCATCCCGGCCTCCGCTCCACGTTCAGCCTTACCCTGCTTTCCTCCAACAGCCCCGTGGAGCAAGGGGTTGAGCAGCAGCTGGAGGGAAGCGGGATTTCCCAGGCTGTTGAGAATTTGGAGGATATTCGGCTCAGGGAGGAGCCCTTTCCCACGATTCAGTGCCTTAAAAACCAAAGAACAGCATGGTAAAACCAAGAAAACCCTGAATTTGCCTTCATGCTCCCAAAAGCAGCAAGAAACACCCAAAATCCAGACCCCAGCAACATCTTTCCTAAATATCTCATTGTAGGGCAGGGAAGAAATGACTGATCCATCCCCGTGGGTGACAAAAGCTGTCTGTGATCCTGCCAGCACGGCACCTGCCCGGCAAAGCTCTCCGTGCCGAGCCGCCGCTGGATTTTGGCAACAACCGGCGTTTCTGCTCCGAATTTCACAGTGGTGTGCGAGAATTCGGGAGCAAAAGGAGGGAATTTGTGCCGGGTGACCGGAGTCTGGGAGCATCGACACGCTGGAGATGGCCGGAGGCAGGAGATACAGGCAACAGACGGCTGCTCTGTAGGGGATCCAGTAGGAAATGTGCCGGCTGCTCCAGGACAGCCTGCTCCAGGCTGGATACCCGACCTTGGGAATGCCGGCGGCATCTGCCATGGCGACAGCAAGCTGTGCGGGAAGAGGGAGTGAGGAGGAGGAGGAGGAGGCAGCGTGCACACGGCTCACCGTCGCCTGCGCGGCTATGAGGGCGGCCAACATGCTGCGGCCGGGAGGGCCGGGAGCGCAGAAGGAGACTCGGACGTGATTCCCGGCAAGCGGCAAACCGTCCGTGGCCTGCTGAACCATCTCCGCCATCTCCGCCGATTCGTACTCCAGCACCGCGAAGCCTTTCAGCTGCCCGTCCTGCCCGTAGGCCAGCTAGGAGAGCAGAGAAATCCCCCAGAATAAAAAATAAATTAAAAAAAAAAGGGGTCACCACAACAGGAGGTGAGATGCTCAGGCACTGAGACAAAGCTGTTGACCTCTGAGAGCCTGGAGGAAGGCTGCACCCCAGGAAAAACCCTGCCATACCCCCCCAGCTCTCACCTGGCAAAAAGCAGGGGCACAAGCAGTGGAAAAAACCTGTCGCAGCTCCTCGAGGTCAGCGTAGTTGTGGGGCAGCTTGTCGACGCACAAGCATTTGGAATGGAGCAGGTCCAGCGTAAGCTGGTTGACGTCCGTCCAGTGGACGTAGAGAGTCCGCGTGCCCAGCTGCCTCCCCAGCAGGTCCGACTTGGCTCTGGCTGCCGAATCCTTTTTCATATATTCCACGAAGCCGTAACCTTTCGAGTGTCCCGTTTTCTCGCTGTAGACCAGGAAACAACGTTCCAGGTTGCCAAAAGGTCGCACCAGCTCCTCAAATTGCTGCTGGGTGTAGAGCTGGGGGAGGTTGGCGATGCACAGGAGGGCGTCCGTAGGCTGTAGCTGCACCGAAATCTCTTTTTCCCGCAGTTTGCTCAGGTGGAATTTTTTGATGGCTGATTCCGCCTGTTCCCCGTTGAGCAAAGTGACAAACGCTGCGGGAGCAGAGTTGGGAGGGGGTGAGGGCGCGCGGCGCCTGTTTCACCCCAAAATGCGAAGACACAGGGTTAAATCCCAACAGATTAAGGGTCAAATTCACCCCTCGCAGCGAGGGGTCGGCCAGGGAGCTCACACCGTCCTCGTGAAGCCTTGCGTGAGGGACAGGGACAGTGTCCCCACGGCCCAGCACCAGCACGCAGCTCCCATGGATTTTTCAGACCCTCAAAACTGATTTTGGGGTGCAGGGGATAAGGCCAGTGAGCACAGCCCCCCAAGACGGGCTGCACTGAACACCCTCCTCCGGGAAACCCACCATAAATCCCACACTGCAGCATATAAAATCCCCTGTGGGGTGCATATGTGTGTGTGTGTGTATTTCTAAACCATGCAGCCGTTAATTTTCCAAGGAAAAGCGACACCAAACATGTTGGTCTTTTCCCCCACAACACCCGGCAGCGGAAAAACCATCGAGCGTGGCCGCGGTGACGGATTCGGCACAGGGAGAGTGTTGGCCATCCCCGGGGCCGCCTGCGCTGCCAGAGCAGCTTACTCACCAGTCCCTTTGTATTTGTCCACAAAGCAGTATTTCAGCTCGTAGTCACTCAGCAGATCGTGGACTTCCTGGATAAACAGAGGGATTTTCAAGAAAAAAAAAAAAAAAAAAAAAAAGAA